CCGCGACCCTGAAAAGGAAAAGCGGAAGCGAATGGATGGATGGATGAATCGAATCGAATCGAATTGAATTGAATTGAATCTTCAGCACTAGTTATGTCTGTGTCCTCTCCTGTTTCACTCTTCTCAACGATATGAACAAACTCAGCATTGGCTCAGAGCAGGTTAATTAGAATATAATTGATGTGATTTGACAATTATTCTGTGATATTTGACTAATTTGTTAGTCTACCTAACAAGAGGAAACAATTTGACTAAGCAACTAGTTTAAAACTAAGAAACACTCAGTTATTTCGAGAAATATTTAATCTAAAATGTCAAAAACCAGTAACAAAGGCATTTGAAACCATTCATCACATTCTTCAGTAATGAACTGAATTGAATAACTGTGTGGCACCTTGCACATTATACTCCAGACAGACAATGAAGAAGAAAAACACTTAAAACAAGCCATTGTCAAATATGATATGAAGATATGACATTAACATCCATAAACTGAACCTGAAAAGTGTGGCGCATTGTGCTTTGCATTATGAATGATGCACGCTGTTTATAAGTGGCCCTAGCAGGGTCTCCTGAAACTAATCTTGTGTGGGTGTGGTGCTCTCTCCGCCTCCTCCTTTCTTGCTCTCTCTCTCGCTCTTCTCTTTCCCCAGGACACAGCTGCTGTTCATTGGCCTCATTTACCCACCTGGGCCTAGTCAGCAATCAGCTCTGTGAGGTCATATAAGCTGGGGATGAACTGGATGAGGGAGGGTGATTTCCCTGGTGTTTCTTTATTGTGTTTTAGATGTTGAAAGAGGTCCTATTGTGTGATTGTCCTGCCTGTGGTGTGGAGTTGTAGGAGCAGTGAGGAGAGTAGTTTCTTCATGTGAGTAGTGTGGGCTTGTGGGCCTCAACCGCAGCAGCAGTGGAACTTGCTGCTTGTGGGCCACCAGAAGTGCCTCTTCATGGTGTGGAGTTTTTTGTTAGGTTGTTGGGTTCTTTGTCGTTGCGACCTTTTTTCTTTTTTCTAGTGTTATTGGTAAAATGGCAGTGCCGGCTCTTTATGTTAAGATTATCTATAATAAAAACTACTTTATTTACTAAAAGCCTCTGTCTGTTTTCCTTTCATTCTGTTCTGTACCCATTTGTTACCAGTCCCCACACACACCCCTAGGCCTTCATCGTGGGGATGTAACAATAAGATCAGCTTTTGGAGATTTGGCAGACTTACTACCAAATGGTTTGATGATCATATTATTACTGTGTTTGGCCAGCCACCTCACCTGGCCTGAACCCTTTGATAGTTCTCCTTGCTAATATCCACTAGAGTAGGGGTCAGCAAACTGTGGCTCCAGAGCCGCATGTGGCTTTTTCATCCTTATACTGCGGCTCCCTGTGGCTTGGGAAAATAAATTAAAGTATTTAGGCAAAGTGTATTTTATTTGTGTTAGTTCTGTTTTTTACTTGTTCTAAACTGGAAGATTATTGTGATGTTGAAATATTAAAATTACATTATATTTTATTATTCTTCATCGCTCAAAATAAGCGTCACACTCGCAGAAGCCAGTATACCCACCAAAACGCTGTGCATTTATCGAGACTTTCAGCCCCAGGTTGGCCAAGTATGGAGTAATGTAAGAAAAGAAAAAATATCAGAAGAAAATAAAACATTCAATGATGCCTGGGCAGATTCATTTGCATTTACTTCTGACGCAAATGACCGACCAATATGCCTAATTTGTGGATTGTTGATCTTCGGATCCGCATAAGTATGTGAGCAGCTATTCTCCATAATGAACTATGTTAAAAAGAATAGCCAAACAAATCGATCACACCTCACAGATGACAGCTTACAGTCCTGCAAAAAGATGAAAGTGACTTCGTACAACCCTGATTTGCAGACGCTGAGCAGAAGTCCCATTGTAAACATACCACAGCAGACCCGACGATGTTTCCAGGAACATGCCTTTCTACATCTCTTTATTGACCACTTTTCATATACGGTTGCTGTACGCATACAGCCGGATGTAGCTTTCCAGCCCACAGACTTTAAGCCGGCGAGACGTGATTGCGGTATTCAACTGCGTCCGCCTCCCCTGCAGAGGCACTGCAGACCACGTCTCGGCACACACATTGACCAGGTAAAATAAATATTTATGCAGTTATTTTGTAAATATTTGTTTTCCATTGTTTAGTAATATGGTGCTTTTTTCCATTTTTTAAATTTAAGTCAAGGCTCCGCACACACTCCAAAAGCCCAAAGGTGTTAGATGTAGGCTCACAAGAGTTCTGATCTTTGCTACATGGATAATTTAAGTTCAGCTTTTTAATTCATTTAAAAGAAACCTTCAATTCTGTGTGTTTCCATTTTGTTATATTTTTTATATTATGTGATCATTACATAAATAAAATTTAATTTTCTCATTAAGCACTTCATGGATTTCATAACCAACACATTATAGTTGTTTATACAAAGCATAAAGGTAAAAAACAATATATACAGTGTTATCTTCATTTTAGATGTCAAAAAGTATTTGCGGCTCCCAGTGTTTTCTTTTCCGAGGAAACCGGGTCCAAATGGCTCTTTGGGTGTTAAAGGTTGCCGACCCCTGCACTAGGGTAAATGCTAAATTTATCCACTTAATCAAGTTTAATCAAACATAAGCAAATATCCATCAACAGCTGAATAATTAGCATGTGATTTAATGGGGCACAATTCATACATTTTCTGTACTGTAAAAAACTAAATGATTTGGTGGATAGAAAAATTCATTGCTAATATAAATAAAGTACTATTATAACAAACAAATGTAAGTGAATAAGCTCCCAAACAAAGATCAGCATTTGGTCTTTCGTCTCAGCATGTCAGCAAGCATCCAAATTATTCAGCAGAAATGTAATTTTTATATGAAAGTAATCATAAGTCCTGTGATTACTTTTGTATTAGTTCTATGAATTGATCTAACATTTTTTTTCTTTTCTATGCTGGATATATGTTCATTTTCTTGTAATGTTTTTGTTCTCTCATTTTCTTTTGTTTCCCACTGTTCAAAAGTCCAGTTTGGCCTCTGGGTGGTGCTATACATTCAGATTTTTTGGTTTCTGCAACACACTGTAAACTGTGTCGACCTGCGTGAGCCGTTGTTGTCCCTCCTCCACTGTGGCAGTCTCTGAAGTATTTTGTGTGTTGTTGCCAGCAGAAGAGGTTTTCACTCCTGGAAGAGTGTAGATGGTATCTGCTGTGTAGCTTGCCATGGAGTTAATTTGCTCTCTTGAGCTGCTGGTCTGGCTGTACTGAAGGATGTCTGCGTTCTCATAAGCAGGGTCAGCATCACTTGACGAAGACACAGTAGAGGCTCTCGACTGAGATGATGGCAGAGTACTAATGGGCTGGCTTTGTATTGAGCGGATAGTATTTGTTGGAGCCTGTAAATAATGAAGTCAAATATTCAGTCACATTATGACACCACATAACTGTGGCACTGCACAAGTTATATAATATAAAATATAAACAGATATAAATCTGTTAGTGAATGCAGCTTACCTGGTAGGATTTCCATTTTGTTGAAAATAATCTTTTAACTAAAAAGAAAGAAACTGTTACGAAGACGCAGGCGAGTAAAACACAAACAATAATAAATGCAAGCGCTCTCGTTGGTGGAGTGTGTTGTGCATTCTCTTTATCATCAGGATTAGAGTTATTAAAACCTGCAGACACAGAAACGTAATTTTAATGAGCAATTTTTTTTCAGACATAAAAAGTAAAATAAATGTATGACAAGAAACAACAATGTACATATTTAAATAACAGGGAAAATATAATTCATGTAAAATGAATCAACATGTTATTTAAAATTAATATTTAATACTTACACAGTGTTAAGTTTTCAGAAGCTTTATTTGTGCTAACATGGTTGTTGCCTCTGCAGACCACAGCTCTGTTCTCAGTGAAGATGGTGATGTTGACCTCACTGAATGATTTCTGGGATGTTCTGCAGCCGTCTTCATCACAAACAGACCAAAGCCAATAATCCTGGATGGAGCAGTTTACTGTGATACTGCAGAGTCCAGCAGACTGGTTGGAGCCAAGCTTTGACATTATAATGACAGGTCTGGGAACCACATCTGTGACATGGAGCCAAACAGATAAATTTAAGGATTTAATCCAAAAAGGAGAACTGACAATCACCTGGGTGATTCTAAAATTGTAGGATATAGGATAATTTGGTTAAAGACAATGACAGATTCTGTTTATCTTCCAGTCACATATCTTACCTTGAACAATGACTTGATGCTTCTCTGACACTGAAATAAAGTCATGGCTGAGTGAGAGTTCATACATGCCAGCGTCTGTATCAGCCAGGTTTTTAATACACAGGGAGAGGTTTCCAGCACTATAAACCACTCTGTCTGTGTATTTTGGATTGATTTTTCTATCTTTAGCAATAATTGTCTTGTTAAATTTCCATTCGACATGTTCATATTCTGTCAATTTCTTAACATTCAGACACACTGAGCTGTTTTTTAGTCCATAATATGTTGTTGTTGGGTCCTCTGCCATGAGACCTAAGAGGTAAAGTGCAGCAAGAGTCTTAAAATACATTATTAAACCTTAAAACACATGCACACAATAGATATATTCTAGTAAGTGTATGGTGTATGAAAAAGGAAATTACTTTGACATCCTTTTACTTTTACTGTTTTGCAACATAATGTTGCAAAACAGTAATTCCTTTTTAATCAAACCTCCAAGGAAAAAATACATTTAATTTCACTCATGAAACTTTGCTTCATTCATCACAATTGCATTTTTTTCCCTAATGAAATCTCTGACACATATCTTTTTTTTAAAAAAATGATTTGATAAATTATCATTAGGTTAAGTTTGGCATTAGTTATGTAAAGAACAAAACCATTTTCATTCAGCTTACCTGTAACAATCCAAAAACTCAGAAGCAGAATCATTTTTAATCCACACAAATTTATCTGAACATAAGAAAAGTCAAATTCATAAACAGGAAATCTGCTGTGCATGGTTTCTCTGCTGTAGCGAGCTATGAATGCAATAAATGTGGCAGGTGTCAGAGAGAAAAAGAAACGCTTCAAAGCCCAGGAAGCGATGCATCATGTGCTGGATCAGAGAAAGAAAAAAATCTGCCAAATGCAGCTAAACTACACTTCAAGTAATTAATGATGATCCAGATATTTCTGTTCATTCATAAATGTTATGATTAAAATACAAGAGGTGACGAAGATATTAGGGTAGACGTGTGTGTGTGTGTGTGTGTGTGTGTGTGTGTGTGTGTGTGTGTG